GGTGAGTTGAGATCATTTACATTGATGGTTATAACTGACGTGTATTGACTTATGTATGCTGGCCAAATTATATTCCTGTTGGTTCCCTTTTTTCCCCTCTGTTTAATAGCTTGCCTTGCCTGATGGATTCATTCTGTTGGGGTTCATGGAGTTGTAGTCCTTTTCTTTCTAGAATGTCCTTCAGAACATTTGGAGGGCTGATTTGGTTGTCATTAAGTTCTCCAGGTGTTCTTTATCACAGAAGTATCTCATCTCTCCATCTTTTTTAAAGATAGTTTTGTGGGGTACATCAGTCTGGGTTTCTTTTAGGACTTGAAACACTTTACTCCAAGCTTTCCTTGACTTGAGGGTTTGTGTTGAGAAGTCTGCTGTGATTATGATGGACTTTCTTTTATAGGTGATTTGTTTCTTTTCTCTAACAGCTTTTAATATTCTGTCCTTGTGTTGAATTTATGGAATCTTGACTGTTATGTGTTTTGGTGTAAATTTTTTTTAATAATGAGAAATAGGAATTCTATATGCCTCACATATCTATTTGTGAAATTCTTTTTCCTTGCTTGGGAAGTTTTCTGCCATTACTTCTGTGAACATCTTTTTTATGTCATTTGTGCTATATCCTTTTTCATTGGCTCCATTTTTTTTTTCTTTCTTGGTACCAGAGATTAAACTCAGAACCCTGTGCTTGCAAGGGAGACATGGCACCACTGAGCTAAATCCCTGGCCCAACTCTGATCAATCTTGTATTAACCTTCTTTTCATCATCCAGCAGCTGTTGGATTGATTTGTGTGTGTGTGTGTGTGTGTGTGTGTGTGTGTGTGTGTAACCTTGCTATTTTTGAGAAATCTTTCTTTTCTAACTTCCATCCTGTCTTCTATGTCTGATATTCTGTCCTCACATTGGCTCAGTCTGCTGCATATACACTCAATGGATTTTCTTGTTGTTGTTGTTAGTACTGGGGATTGAACTCAGGCCCTTGTGCTTGCAAGGCAGGCAGCGGAACCACTAAGCCAAATCCCTGGACCTCTCAATGGAATTTTTAATCTCCTGGATATCTGTTTGAATTTGTTTCATGGATTCCATTTTTGTCCTATGTTGGGCATTCATAGTTTCCATAATTTTCCCAAACTCCTCTATTTTAAAAAAAAAATCTGTATCTGCTCTAAAGTCACTAATCATGTCTTTCATTATGGTCACCATCTCTGTAGTTATCTGAGAAACTATTTCTGGCTTGATTTTTTTCTAGAGTCTCATTCATCTGCTTTTCTACCTTTGCTGATATCACTTCAGAGAGTCCAGGTGGATGGGTTTCCAGTTGTTCCACTTCTTTGCCCCCTGGGTTTGCTTTTGGTGAGCTGAAAGTTTAGGGTTGGATCTTGCTTAAATGTCTTCTCATTTTTTTTTTTTTAAGTATTATTCCTGGGTTGATGCTTGTAAATTGCTTATGGCAGGTAGCTTTATTGCTAGTATATTGAACCCTTAGGAAATGACTACTTTTCAGTGATGTCTTCCAGGTGTAGCTGGCCTTTGGGTTTTGAGTCTGTGGCAAGATCCTACCTATTTCATTTACTGGGGATGAGAAGTTGCTGCCCATATGGCCTATCCCCTGTTTCTTTAGTACTGGCCTTCAGTGCTATTTATGACCCTTAAGCATCTCAGTCTTGGCACAACAGGAAGAACAACCAATTAGAACAGGTATGTTACCTTGGCTAAAGTAGCACGATCACAACAATGATAGCATCAAATATAGCCACAGTCAATAGCTCACTGTTGTTCCAAAACCTCCCTCTAAGCTCCCTCCACCTCCTCCTCCTCTTCCTTCTTTTTTTTGTACCAGGGATCAAACTTGGAACCTTGCACTTGTAAGGCAGGCAGCAGCTAAATCCCCAACCTAAGCTCCCCTTCTTAAGGGAATTGTCACGTAACTTGTGGATATATTTCCAAATCATAAAATACAAGAAATGCCAAAAAAGCTAGTTAACTATTGTTACCAATTCAAAAAGTATTACACATATTCCTTGCCCAAGAAAAGTAAAAATGCCCTGAAATTTTATAGCACTTACATGAAAGAAATATGATTGAGGATTTCCCAAATGTGGCTGTGGTTTCAAAAAATATCCATATTAAAAATAACAATTTGAGAAGCTGAAATAAATGTTTCTAAACTATAAAAAAATTTTTTGTCAGGACTGGGGATGTAGTTCAGTGAGTGGTAGGGCACTTACCTATCATGTACGAAGTCTTGTGGTTGATTCTGAGTACAATGGGGGGAGATCATTGCTATTTCTGTGCCAGGCTAAACTACATGGTAAGTTCAAGGCCAGCCTGACCTACATAGCAAGACCCTATCTCAAAGAAGAGTTTTATTGGGACAGATATTTAGCTCATTGGCAACATGTCTGCCTCACAAGTGCAAGGTCCTGACCTGAGTTTGAACTCTGGTACAAAAAACATAAACCAGAGTCTTACTAAGTTGCCTAGGCTGGGCTCAAACTCCTGCCTTAGCCTTTCATATTGCTGGGATTACAGATGTGCATCACCATACCAGCTGGATCTTGTGTCTTTGTATGGGGCTATCACAGGGCTAATATTTGGGTAAGAGCCAATGCAATTTTCCAGGTCCCAGTGCATAAAAGGGCCCATATTCAAGGCTTAATGCTCTATGGCTGGTTGGGATCTGGTTGATAAATATTTCAGTGCTGGTTTTGGAGCTGAGCTTGGGATGATTCCTCATGACTTGATGGGTGATTTGGTTCTCACTGGATGATTTTTCTTGTATAGGTTGGTCCGGGTTTTGAGAATCTCTGCTGGAATCCAAGTTGACTCTAGATTTAAGGCAATGAAGACTTCTGGGACTAGCTGAAAGTTGCTCTAAAAATCTATTCTGATGTCTTCAGTCTTGTAGGATTATGAGAGTCTAGGTAAATTGAAGGCTCATAGACCTTGTTTTGTCAAATTTTAGACTGACATTAACTAAATTACTTGTGTGCCAATAGGCAAAGCTTGAAAGGATTTGACTTAAGAGATTTACAAAATGAAGGTCAAGCTATTTTACTTTTAGTTACCTATTGAGCATTTGTGGGCCCAAGTGAAGACCTATGGGTTTTTTGGAAAAAAAAAAAAAAAGTTTTAATTTCCTGCCTATCTTAGAAGAAAACAGAGTATGCTTATAATGAGTAACAGGTTAAGGGCCAGGAGTTTGTCTTCTGTAGTGGCCTCTGAATGTGTTGCTATCAGTGATTCCCTCGTCTGAGTTAGATGCTATGATATTTGCATTCAGAATGACATTGGTCAATACAAACACATGATCATAATTTACAATTTTAATTTTTTTTTTGGGGGGACAGGGTTTCGCTTTATAGCTCAGGCTGGCCTTGAACTCACAGCGATCCTCCTGCCTTAGCCTTCCAAGTGCTAAAATTTTAATTTCTTATATTGCAAACAAGAAGCATTACAAACTGAGGGATTGTAAAAGGAAGAAAAGATTTGCATTTCAAAACCTTTAACAGCATTTCCCCCACCCATTCCACCCACCCCTTTATTTTTATTTATACTGGGGCTCAGGCCCATGGATTTGCATGCTAGGCAAAGGGCTCTACCTCTGCGCTAAATCCTGAGCTCTTTTTAAAAATTATTTTTAATTTTGAAACAGGGTCTACCTATGTTGCACGGGTGGCCTCCAATTTGTGAACTACTGCCTCAGGCTCTGGAGTAGCTGAGATTACAGGCCTGTGCCATCCTACCAGGCTCTTTTCTTTTTTGAAATGTGACTGAGTTTTCTTTTGCATCAGACCTGCTAATTATAAGCGTATAGCAGGGTCTGTTTGTCAGTTTGTTCTGTTTGTGATTTCTTGTGGTCTAGTTTCTCATTCTGTAGAATTGTTCACTTTTCTACCCTCATGTATGCTAGGCAAGTGCTCTACCATGGTGCTGCACTCCCAGCACCCGTGTTGTTATTTTATGTTATTCCAGTTCTGGAAACCCAGGGTTTTTGTACTGAGATGCATTCTCAAGCCCCCCTCCCCCCCCTTTTTAATGTTGAGATAGGATCTGGCTAAGTCATTGAGTTGCCCAGACTGGGCTCCAACTTGCGATTCTCCTGTGTCAGTCTTCTAGAGTGCGGATATTTCAGGCGTGCGCCACCCACGCCTGGCAACGCATTCTCTTTCTTAAAGACAATTCCCAGAGTGGTAAAATTTTAGGGCTCCACATAAACGCCATCTCCCAGGACCTCCACAATATTGACCTTGAGAGATGCGATCACAGATTTTCTTCTTACACTTTTTCATACGATAAGCCTGTAGCACACTTACGCCAGTGATAAGGAAGGAAAAAAGAAAACCCACATAAGAGAGTGTCATTTCAAAAACTAAAGGAAATCGCTGGCATCCGAGAACAGAACAGAAACTGGGCGGCGGGAAGTGGGCGAGGACTCCGGGTCCTCAGCGGAAAGCCCTGCTTGGTTGCTGCGCCAGACCGCCCGTGCTCGGGCGCGTCCCCTTTAAAGGGCGTGACCGAGGGTGTGGCCTG